TTGCAGATTACACATTTACATTACGATGAAACCTATTCGAACAAGCACTAGATTAAAAAAAGCTATTTTTTGCTTACACCCTAGAAACAGAGAAGTAGACTGTTGAAAAGGACAGAGAGACGATGGGATAACATTACACAAGTAATAATACCTAATGTCGGTATACTAGGAGCCGTGAAAATCCTCTTCCCCCTAAATTACTCACATAGAAGCACTTTCCGGAGCTCATACAGACACGATATCATTGGTGCTATCATACTGTGTGTATCCTGAACGATTATATCGACCAATTACAAAATTACCGCATCAATAGCTCAATAACTATACTGCAAAAAATGAAACATGGTTAGCATTGTCGAGCATGAATGCTGTTTCCTGTGGCAGAGAAATGCTGAGACAGACAGGCACTTTAAATTACATGCATGTTTAAAACTAAATGTACCTCAAATCGATTTGCACACTACCACTTCAACGTTCTTTGCGTTAGTATTATCGCTTAGAATGTTACATGCAAAGTTTATTTAATTGTGAATTCTCAAGTTCCAAGGAACTGCGGAATAATGAAATGCTCATCAGTTAAACTGCAGCTGCACAAAATGTCACTCTACAATTCAAACTGCTCCAGTCATCACAATGTGTTGTTTCTGCTAACGTCCACTTTGAGCAGAAGGACATAGTCACTCGTAGTCGCTCTCTGGTTGCTGGTCTTTTGTGCTCAGTTCGTGAAACACTGTAAATGACCGTGGATCACTTGATCGAATGTTACTGCTCGAACTTAGAAAACTACACATCATAGTTGCAACCATGCTAAATGCAAAAGTGTATAGTTGATAAATACGCGCTCATAGTTGCAGCTGTCTCATTATCACAAGTCAATTACAAGCATCAACAAATAATAAAAAGTAAGTGTCAACACACACACAAACGGTTAAATATATATTTCAAGATACAAGTGCATAACTATGATGTTAATTTTACAGGCGTGAAACTTGTGACAGGCACAGGCACAATAAGTATCTTTTATTTTGACTTTACACTACGTGCGAGAAGCCGACCATAAGTGAGTTCGCTTGGCTACACAAGTTAGACTGTGTTACAAGACAACTGCTAATGTTCCCAACTTCAAAGTTATCTAACATAGCCGGCTCATCAAGCAGTGTAGTGGAGTAAATTGGCAGTTCATAAGACACAAAGCACTTGCGGATTATGAATGTGCCTGTTGGTCACATCCATGTATCCAAAGTAAAACTTTCAAAAAATGCACTTCAATAGGAGGGATAATCGTAAAAATTACAGTTCCAATCTGCCAATTCCTTTTAATGGGCTCCTTCAGCTACCACCAAAACTCGCCATTATTATCAATGTCAGAATCATGCCAGACAGATATGCTCGGTCCTGCACAGAACATCAAAGCTGCGCTCCATGACTTGGCTTGTATGGATGGTGGCTGCATTGCACTGCTGCTTAGCTAGGCTAGCCACGGACATGGGGACAATTAACCATGGTTTTGAAACAGATGAAGAGCCAGCTTTAGAGATCAAGAATTTTGTACTTAGGTACACTTTTGAACTCTGTAGAATAAAGTTTATCACTCTGCCATTGTGGTGAAAAAATGCACGGCAAAAATAAAACATGTCGCAACATTGAGAAATAAAAAAAAATACGGCAGGTAAAATGTGCATTTACTGGCTCTGTCTGGACTGAGGCTTTTACTGTTACTTTTTATCCGTGCAAGATGTGGACAGCCAAGCAATTTTCACCTACTTGCTTTTACTTCCACAGAACATGATTCACAGAGAGAGTCACAAGGTCAAGAACTCAAAAAGAAATCAAAGTATTTGTGCTTTTTTAAAACCACAATATTTTTATCCTCACTTATATGCAGCTGATTTCATAAGCTGCAGACTTTAAACTATCAACATTCTCAATTATGTCATAATTTATTATAAAAAATTTTCAAAATAATGGCTTACTAAGCAAGTTGGTCGCCTTCACCGCAACGCAAAAAGGAAAACAATACGTGGCGGCAACACCTCTTTCCTGTGGCTTCATTAAAATTGAGTGCCTTACGCTTGGCTCTTAGTGAGAATATCGCTGAAGCTAAGAACTACTACTTCAATATTACATTAAAAAGCTTTCTTTACATGGCTCCGTCTAAATTCTGGAGGCGTTTTTCCTCAATGCAAAAGTCACATTTATTTTTTTCTGCGAACTGTGCCAACGTTCCGGATAAACTACAATCGGCATCGAGGTTTAACAGATTTTTCTACGCGGTATTTGTGCAGGAGGACGCTGGTGCCCCGTCTTTCATTCTCGTAGATTGATGCTCCGTCTATATGTGAAATGTTTGTATCTGAAGAAGGTGTACTCTCACTGTTGCTAAAATAAGACACAAAGAAGTAAAGAAGTATCCTGGAATTGAGAGTATACCAACACTCTTTTGGTCAGGTATGCTGGATGGTATTCCAAGTACTTGTGTTTAATATTTAAAAAGCACTATTAGAAGCTCATTTACCAACAAAATGGAAGTACAGTGAAATTATTCTGATACTGAAATATGGGCACTCACGCCAAGTAACTTGCTACAGGCCAATCCCTCTACCATATTCCTGTTTGAAGATACTAGAACGCATCACTTTTGGGCATATATTCTGGTTTCTGGAAAAGAATAACCTTATTGGTCATAGGCAACATGGATTCGCAAAGGTAAGTCTAGTGTGACGGCGCTCCATGAGCCGTGCATAATTTTGCTGCTGGTGTTGATGCTCCATCTCAAATGACTGTGATTTCTTCTTTATTTTCAAAAGCATTCGATTGTGTTGCCCATTTGAAACTGATAATAAAGGTCAGGGCAATACTAAAGAATACTGCATTGAGGTGGGCGTTTTAAAAGGCTTGGGGTTAGGGCTGTTATTCTCCCTAATATTTATAAATAGCATAGTTGATCAAAAACTGGTAAAAAAACTATACGCAGATGATTGCGTAATTTAACACAAAAGTGGCAACCTTCATGCTCATGGTTAACTAAAGCATGCTGGCACCACCTCTATTTGTTATTCTTACGCCTAGTTAAATAGTGGTTAATTATTAAGGGAACAAATTCCACCAAGATTTATCTGTACTAGAGAATTAGGAGTGTTTGCAAATTTTAGGCATCATTTAAATTTACTGGAGCCAGTTCATTCTGAATGCTTGGCATGTTATCACGGCCCACATCGGTTTTTGAAGAGCGAATGCTGAAAAGCTTGATTTGTTAGTAGTTCTGTGCGTAATCACGCACATCCTTAATATACAATTCGCTTTGCAAAGTACGAGCCCGTTCCAGATCGGCGAAAAATGCATAGACAGCTGTATTTAAGAGATCATTCCAATTGCACAGTTAGAGACAATCGAAGTACACTAGAGGGCAACCACAGATTAGTCTTTATGAGTGGCTAACTCAAAAGTTTCACTCACATTTATTTGCAAAAGCGTCCAGGTTATGTGTTTCTTTTAACCTCTTTAGCGGCAATTTCCACCAATGTGGCCAACATCTCAAGTTGAAGCAAAACTGCAATTCGACCTAGTTGGAACATAACCATCTTGAAATTTTTGCGCAAGCACCCAGGGACACACAGGAAAATACAAACGGGCATCCGTTTGTGTTCTTTTTTGTGTTCCTGTGTGCTTGCGCAAAAATTTTGAGGAAGATCTCATGTTGCATATTTGATTAGACGATGTAGGCTACAACACAACCATTATCAGAAAAGAAGACTGACCATATACCGCAATGCTTTCAAATTCATCGACCATTCGCGATTCACCTTGGCTTCATCCAACCACAAGTCTCTGCAAGCATAATTTCACGCTACATTGACACCCGATAGAATTCTTCAATAACTAGAACTCCAAGCTTGTTGGATCACTTCAACCATCATTACTGCCCAATACGTACAGAAAAACAAGACACGAAGCTCAATGCGCCGAAACAATTTAAAACGTGCCACCAACCATCAAGCAGCCTTGCATGGCTGTAAATGACTCAAAATCAGCCACAGCATCATATACCTCGCCGCAGGTGCATGTTTTAAGGAGCCATATGGTTCGTAAGACATGTCCGAACCACTTCTACAGTTTTCTTTTAACCATGATTTGTTTGCGCAAAATTTTGCTTCGTGATTCCACTTGCGAGCCTTTTTTGGGTGACGTCAGCTAATACAGTAAATGCGTCATCTTTGCTGACATGCTCCTGGGAAGTCGCTGCGTGCTTTATCGCAGTGTCCGGTGTGGTAACGATGGCCTGTTACGACGTTTCTTCTTCTTCGCTTTGTGACTTTACTTACGCGACGAAATTGCTTTTGCACGAAAATTTCCTCCTAAGTGAGTTTCGTGAATACGCCCTCCTGATGAGTACGAAGCATTAAAGCAAAATATAAGCGATGTACTTGTGTAGTTAAGACGACTTGCTGTTCTTCCTGACCAGATTCTGCCACGACTCGGGTTTATTTATATTCGTCGCGCGAAGTTCCTGTCTGATATCGCAGAAAAGTATCAATCCCTTCGCAACCAGCACGCTGAGTGTTGATAATACCTGAATCATTATCCTTCCATTTAGATGATTATTAGTTGGAGTTACCAGTGTTTTCGGGCAATTTCTAAGAATTGGGTGCGGCAAACATTTTCATGTCCTACAAAGTTTTCGTGTAAAAACTCTCCTTAGGTTAACAATTCAATACATTTCATTAAGGATTTCTGTTGATAAATCCTTCCAGTGCAGCTGAACGTGCAGCATAGTGCTTCTGATTGCCCTTTCGCTAAGAAACCTGTTTTTCACAGAAATACATACCACAATAAGTACAAAGAGCATTCATCTGTTGCTCATTAGGAGCTGATTGCAGAGGTGATAACAATTTTCAGACCCATGCGTAGGTTCTTTCTTTACGCTCAATAATTGATTGATTGATTGATTGATTGATTGATTGATTGAATACTTAAATAATTGATCAATTTTTCAGAGGGTGAGCTGGAGGTTGAAAAAGACGACCAGGTGTTGGGCCGCATGGGACCAGGCAAGGCGTTCGGAGAGTTGGCCATACTCTACAACTGCACCCGCACGGCAAGCGTCAAAGGTACGCGCCGTCATTAGTTGTAATCTCAGTGTGTGTCTGTGGGACTAAGCAGCGCCATTGATGCTGGCCGCAACACCCTACCAAGAAAACAAATTATAGCAACGATAGCCCAACTCCAAACAAACAAATAATTGAGCAAGTAAGAGTAAAAAGCACTCTGGCCAAGTATTGCTTGGCTCAAAAGTACAATTTGTATACTATAGGTTGCGATGCGCCATCTTGAGTGGCGAAGCATATGAGCTCATCAGCAAGGTTCACATTTAGTCACGTTGTCTTCAACTAAAAGCCCCTGGCTAATCTGGATGAAAAAGAAATAGGGTGACTCAAATAAGCACTGTCTAGCTTGAGCAGGGCCAGTGAGAGTAAAAAACCTGATGAACGAAATGAGCAAAAGCTGCAAATATTCGAATTTATGGTAAGTTGGTGCTTTTGCGGGATGTTAGCAACTGAAAGCTATTTGTGGTGGTCTGTCGGAATACTTCGCATGTTACTTCAACGCTGTTCGACCAGTTTTACAAAAGAACGACGTCACTCGGGCAAAGCTAGATGCTTAGAGCGTCTTTGCAAGCCACTGTGACAAGCTTAAGTGGCCGCAAATAAAGGGCGATAAATGTTACCAATCGGAGGCACCTCGTCTCCCACTGTTTCGTCTTTCATGTATACTACAGTCTCAACACTCACCACTTTGCCGCACTCGCCGATTTTGTGAGCTTGGGAGATGAGGAAATTTGGAAAGGCTGTAAATTTTCAGTCAAAGATAAGGGAACACTCCGCAAAGAGAAAGATAATCTGCTCGGGCTGCGCAGAATCAGTTATCGCACGGGAAGACTTTGGCGGTGACTAAACTTGACGCCTAATGTAAGAGAATGTAACATAAGTACAACAGACATACTCAGTACAACCGAAGTTGTACCTGTCGTTGCCCAACAGATGTACCACTTACAAACAGCTTAGTATTTCGTACAGGATAACGGCCCATGATCTGGCATTATCATAGGTATCTGCCCCAAAATCTGCTACGAAATGCATCTAATTTTTCTCCCCCCCCCCCCCTGTTGAAGAAACGATGGTTTTGTCAACTGCTCTCACGTGAAGTCATTCAGTAGCACGCACATCGCACTCTATCACAGTGGGATGGCGCCAGATGATGCTAGGACAAAAACATGTGTTACGTGTAATGAAGTTTCTAAATCAAGGGTTATATGGCTTTTCTTGCCCTGCCTTGGTTCACCAGTAAAACGTTTCAGAGTGTTCACAAGAACAAACTAGCTCGACTCTCAATATTGAGGCACACATTTTCGGTACTTTACTGCCCAATTTTTTATCTATCATCGCAACACGCATTCTTATAGCAAACAATTAAAAAGGAGGTGTAGTACAGATGACGCTTTCATTAGTTTTGCCGTACAAAAATGGGCTTGCTTCTTCGAGCAAACTGCACGAAAGAGCAATGTTTTTCACATACTGATTTTAACGCACACAAAACAGCGGCCAGTTTTTAAGCACGTGCAACTTAGTAAAGAACTCTTAAAGGTAGTACTAAATGCCGCACAATTATTTACAACTTGTTTGAAATGAACGAATCAGTGCTGGGTGATGAAGCGCTCCCGCAGGAGAGTTCGTCATTGTGCCACTGGGTTTTGCAGCGGTGACGAAGGCCAAGGTGTGGGTGCTGGACCGACGCGTCTTCCAGGCGATCATGATGAAAACTGGACTTCAGAGGCAGGAGGAGAACATCCAATTCCTCAGAAGGTATAGCTGTGTTTTCCACTCACTCAACGTTAATTGGCTTAATTTATGTGCATGCGTTTTCTTTTGCGCGTGTGTATGTTTCCACATTTTTTAAAGAAGTGAGCAGGGAACGTTTTTAGGAAGAAGACAGATAGTCCTATCTGTCTTCTTTCTAAAAACTTTTTCTGCGCACTATGGAAGTGTGTTTCTTAAAAAAAAAAGGCACGGCTTTGCCGCAAATGCGAATTGGAAGGTCACGCGCAGAATGGGAAGCAGATCGAAACGTGCCCCGCGTTTCTCACGCACAAATGACGCACGAAACGAATGAGAGGTACAGATCAACGCGAATAATCTTCTCAGTAGTTCCTTCGCCCTATCTGAAAAGCGCACACTTTTCGCAAATAGAGGATTTTCAATAATTTCAGGGACCTTTGTGTGCCCGCTAACTACAACAGAATACGTACGAGATGTACGGTCCTCTCCACTGCACGATAAGGGCGCGCGATAGAGCGCATACACCCTTATTTTTTACGCGGGCCGAGGTACGTGTTAGAGAAGACAGCTGCCGCGCGCTCACTGCACCATCTTGCGGATAATGCTGAAAACACGATAGTTCCCCTCCGAGGTGACCGCAAACAGCGGTAAGTGGTAGGTATAAATACCTGGCCGTTTGAACTTGCAAGGAGGTACTCTATGGTGTCTCAGTGGTAACGCCTCGTACTCACAATGCGGAGGTCCCTCGTTTGATTGCGCACGTCGAAGTCTTCTTTCTAATTTCGTTTCTTTCTTGCATGTTCATATATATAGATGCATATACATATACGGTGGTCGACATCAACCCCGACACAGGCGGCAACATCCAGACGAGACTGTCCATATAATTGCTATCTTAATAAAATGCATTACCAAGCAGCCCAAGTAGCCACTCATTTGTTTGTTTCTAGATTGTGCATTCCGTTCTATGGTCACCTCTTCCTTTTACTGAGCTAACAGTAGCCTAGGCGTATTCCGATCGAACTGATAGTCTTTTTTCGAAAGCCCAATGTACAATTAATACGATTGATGTCGAGATTCCACACCTGCCGTCAAGATGACGGGAAGCAAATTTTCCGAAGGAGAAAAGTAATATGTGTACAGTTTGTAAAAGCACTCACTTGTGTACGTTTTTGTTGGCTGCCTAAAGTTTACCAAGAAGGAAGCCCGAGCTGAATATTTAAGTAAAGCCAAACGGTAGAACAGTTACAGGTGCAACAATGATGGCATGTGCATACATGACGCTACTTTGTAGCTACATGGCAAATTTCTTCTTATTTCAACCCGTCTTATGCAGGATGGCATAGCGTGTGCGTTCTTCTTATAGTGACAAAGTCTAAAAACGCCTCCTGTTTCTGGAGGCCTTTATTGGGGCTTTACCAGTTCTCTGGGCCTCCACCGAAACGGCAGAGGGTGGCAAACGCAATTTCAAATGCAAATTGTTCGAGCATGTGCTATCACGTGGGTGCGCGTTCTTTTCTGTTGGTCGCAGGGCTGATGGAAAGCTTTTTTGTAATTTCTCTTTCTCTTCGCAACAATGTTTTAACATCTTTCATTCCCTTCACCCCTTTCCCCAGCACAGGGTAGCCAGCTGGTCTAAGAACTGGCTAACCTCCCTGTCTTTCCGCTTAAACTTCCTTCCTCATGGTGTAGTGGCACCGTTTTCTTCCACTCTGTCGCTCTAGCACTTAGTCGGTGATTCAGTTACAATAACTTCTCTCAAAATCATGGTGTTCTTCTATCAATACATGCGAAGTCTCCGGCATATCACGTGTCGCACTTTGAGTTTACTGAGTCACTTGATCGCTCCTCTCAAATGATATGTGCCCTATGACCCGCTTCCGTAAAACGCCTTTCAGACAAACAGCTCGAATGCACTTTTGTGGACGTTCAGAGCCAAAGATGGGCTCCAGATTTAGTGCTTCCTAGTAGGGCGGTATTCTATCTCCAAAAGTTTCCAGCATGATTTCAATAAGCCTCGACGGTGATATTATTCCAAGAGAGTGTGCTGGTGCGCCTCGCTAAGTAGGAGAACGATGGCACTTGCGACAGTGAAAGGTAAGCTCCATCCCCCTCCCCCTTCCCGTGTCCTGGCAAAGCCGTCTTTGACCGGCGAGTTGCGAGCGACAATCAGGAGGAGAATTGGCGATGGGAGTAATCCGCTTACTGTTCTCTCGGTGTAGTCGCGCGCATCGTGCCAGCCTTCCGTTTGATTTTGTGTTGTTGGTTGAACAAACTGAAACAAAGAACGAGCCTCACTGGTGCGTGTTGAGATGGAATGCACTTCGCATGACGTACAATATGATGCACTGGCTCTAACGTTGCTTAATAGAGCGTCATTTGTTCTTTGTTAAATCTGTATACTTTCATTTGTAAAAGTGATATAATATAACCTGTGCCCTAAATTTGCCGTAGTTTAGCCGCGTCGCTAAAACAAGTCAGTTGTCATGTAATTAGGCCTAATATTTTAGGGCGTTGTAACCACAGAGGACGACAATGTTACCGCTTGTGTACGTAACTGGGCCGAGCTTTTCCCATAACACTTTGTATTTCTTCTATTTTAAACTTCACCGCCCCTAGCAACCTTTTGAAAGTAAAATACCAAAACGAATAGACAGAAAACTAAAAGAGGCTAAACTGAATAAATCGTTCAAATGTTTGCTTGCACTGATGCTAAAAATTTCTACCCTTTCGTAAATCCCGTAAAACTGTAACAACAAAGTGTAACAAATAGGACTACTCTATGTCAGGGGGGTCGGTAATAAACACCCATTTCACACAGCATGGCCTAAACTAAACCGTAGCCTTTCACTTGTAGAATTCTCTTGTAGCCCTTTAGGAACTCAGAAATATTTCAAGACACTATTAGGCGAGTAATTTTCGCGTTCTCAATAAAAAAAGAGGCTACGTCATACAACTTTCTTCTAATAATTTCTTCCGGTTGTTGCAGACCTTTGGTGATAACTGAAAAATGCATAACATTTAGCTCAAAGTCATGAACTTTTTATGGTAGTTCAGTGCCCACGTGATCTCTTCCTCTATTGATCCTACATTGAAAATTTTACGTTTCAAAGATCCTCTTTAGGTTGAGGCCATCGCGAAGTGGTGAGCATGCGCAACGAATTTGAAATTGCTAACGGCAACGTAAGGCAGATTAAGGTATAAGCTCTCGCACAAGCCCAGACTGCTTTGGCAGATCTATGTCCGAAGAACTTCGCTGAGCTGATAAGGTCAAGCGAAAGTCTGCCCGGGAGTGATCGACGTACAAAAAGCGGGAAAGTGCTCAGTTCAGTTGGTCAGCACGAGTCGCACAAAAAAAAAAGTTAGTTTAGCGCCTTGTTGGTTCGAGTCTCCCTTTCAGCCTAGAGCCCGTATCAGGCCCGGGAAACTCAGCGCTAGTTTTGTTTTCAGGGAACATGCACACTCGTAGCGGTTGCCGGGCGTCCTATGGTCTGGTTAAACGCAGCGAGGTTGATTAGGGTACTCGCATTTGTTAGCTTTCACAAATATTTACAAATAACAAATTCGATATGCCCATGATAAACTTTTCTTTTGTTTGTATGACTTTTTTAATTCCTATTTTTCATTTTGAAATCAAGCTAGGTGCAGGAAATAGTTAACTTGAGTTCGTAGCATATGCCTTCGCTGTTTATCGCCACTTGCTCAGTGATATTACAAACTGCACCGCAATGAGTTACTTTACTTTGTTGGTGGCCAACTACGGGAAAGATAGAGAAGTGGTGGTGGGCAGAAAACGGAAGTCGCAGTCAGCAACGCCGAGCAAGTCAATTATGCGTTCAACGAAGAATGCTAAATCAGGCAACACGTGTTTTTTTTTTTTGCTGCTCTTTGGTGTGTTAACCCAGGGATTCGCGATTCTGCGAAAGTTTTTCAGGTTTCATAGTAGCAACGGCTGATCAAAACTATTTGGAGCCATTACTTGATCAGCTAATAATTTTGCGCGAGTACATGAGCAATGGCAGTTTTCTGCAAGCCTCATTGGGCTGACGGAAGTGCAGTGTTGCTAGAGAAATTGGTCAAGATGGCAGCCAAGCAGCTGTCGACAAAACGCGTTTAATGAAAGTCTTCAATTCGTGTTGTCTTCGCAGCATAGTTTTAGCTTCTTTTACTCTTGGCATGTAGTTCAAATGATATCAAGTAATTATAGGCTTCTTCCTGTTCATAAAAACTATGTAGCCACGGTTTCAAACTTTGTGAGTATTTACATCTGATAATATCTCATAAATACACGTAATAAACTAAATACGTATAAAAATCACTTTAAAGAATGCCGCTAGAGCCAAAGTGAACTTATCATTGTCAAGAGAACGCTGTTATTCTGGCGAGGACAAGTCAGCTTGCCGAAGCATTGTTTCCAGCGACGTTCCCGTTTGAAAAATATGTGATCACTTCAAGCCTCTCTGTGCCTCTGAACTTCAGTCTCCATTTGGTACTGAAGCTCTCTAAAGGCGCGTTTACACTAGAGAGACACGATACCAATTTTGGTCAGCGGGCAGGCATTAGGAGTGTCTTTTCTCTTGTCACCGACCTATGTACACTGCGAAGACCAAACAGAACGTCGGTGGTCTCTCGAAGGCCCCGTCCACGCCTTGTCGTGCTCACATTCTTTCAATGGTCGATTCAGTAGTCACATTGGAGGCACATGCAGCGACACCGACTAAACTTGCACACCTAGACCTCATTTTCAGCCATGCTCCTTGCTTTGCCAATGTCCATCTCCGGCTACGTGGCGCAGCCCCCGCCATAATCTATGGTAACGAGGCATGGGGGTGGTGGACATGGTAGGGAAGGGAAGAAAAGACTTCAGTTGGGTGCTCGAGCTGCCTATTCAGGCGCCGCGGAAGCCTCGGAGAGGGCATTGGTAACTACCTCGAGATTGTCCCCTTCGTAGAAAAGACATGGGGCAAATTTTGGCTCACTCGTCCATCCCTCGAACACATGCCGACAACAGGTCAGTGGATGCGTTT